GACTTCTGCAAATGCCTCTATGACTTCTGTTAATGTCTGCCTGACATTTCAGATGTCTGGCTGAGTTCAGTAGATGTCTGTATGAGTTCTGAAGATGTCTGTCTAAGTTCTGTAGATGTCTTACTTCCTCTGTAGATGTCTTAATTCTTGAGTAGATGTCTGTCTGACTTCTGTAGATGTCATGCTTCTTCTGTAAATGTCTGCCTGACTAATGTAGATGTCTGCCTGACTTCTGTCTACCTGAGATCGGTAGATGTCTGCCTGAGCTCTGTAGATATCTGTCTGACTTCTGTAGTTGTCTGCCTGACTTTTGTAGTTGTCTGCCTGACGTTGTAGATGTTTGCTTAACGTCTGTAGATGTCTGTCAGTCTCCTCTATATGTCTACCTTTCACGTTTATCTGTATCATTATGTCACACCAGCTGCCTATCCTATAGTACTGTTATACTAAACACTGTTTCATCCACAGACTACCTGTCGCTGGTACCGTGTGTCTCCAACCCGGAAGTGACAACAGAGATAAACAAATGTGTCGACAACTTTCCTTCCCCTCTTCGATGGGACGACTTGTGCAGGTGAGCGTTAATGTGTTTTCATTTTCAACCTGGATAAGACGTATTGTATTCTACAATACAGATATACTGACCCAACCATAGGGCATACACACATATACATACACACAACACACACACACACATACAAACACACACATACAAACACACACATAGACGCAATAGCATGGCACATACTTTATTATTGCAATGATATAAAACATAATAAACAGAGGCAACAGTATGAAATATTTCAAACATCGACGCAATTGTATGAGACATATACAATATTGACTTATTGATATGACATCTTCTTCTACTTCTTCTTGTGTCCCACTGTTTACAACGTAAAGCTTTGCAAAGGGGAGTTATTTTTAGTTTCATAAGGATGCGACACATATACTGTACTGAAACAATGAAAAAAAAAAAAAAAGACACTGTAATAGTTTAATGCGAATTCTTCTTGTTTTTCTTTGCGTTCGGTTTCGTATGCTCAGATCAGACCATCAGGTGGGTTGTCTCTATGAACTCGCATGTCAGTAGCAGGTCCTTCATGGTTCTCCATAGCTTGCTCTGCACACTTTGCTCTTGAGGCCAGGTGTCTTTTCGAAGTTGTAGGTAGAGTGGGCAGGTGTGCAGAATGTGCTCAGGTGTTTGTGGTCCTGTTTGACAGGCACACCGTGGGGGACTGTGCAATCTGTATTTTATGCATGTGGTAGTTGAGTCTGCAGTGTCCTGTTCGTCTTGTAGATGTTTACTGTTAGTTTGTTTTCTCTCCACAATTCCTTGTATTTTCCTTTGATGCAAATGCAGATATGCAGCATCACCGCTACGTTTTCATATTAGTTAACACAGTGTGGACATTGTGTTATGACACAAATACAATTTCAAAGCTACGTTATGGAACAGACGCTATGTTATGACACACATCAACGCTAAGTTATGCCACCAACCCAGTACTGACGCTGTATTATGACATACATACAATATCAACGCTACTTTATGACAGCGCAGTATGGCGCTATGTAATGATACACATACAATATCAACGCTACGTTCTTGCACTAACACAGTATTGACGCTATGTTATTATACACATCAACGCTACGTTATGACACTTAACACAGTATCGACGCTATGTAATGATACACAAACAATATCAACGCTACGTTCTTACACTAACACAGTATTGTATGTATGATACATATCAAAGCTACTTTATGACACTTTAAACAATACTGACTCTATGTTATGACCCACATACAATATAAAAGCTACGTTATGACACATGCATTTAACACTCCGCTGTGATATACATACAAAATCAACGCTTCGTTATAACACACAATACTGACGCTATGTTGTGACATACATATAATATCAACGCTATGTTGTGACACACAGTACTGACGCTATGTTGTGACATACATATAATATCAACGCTATGTTGTGACACACAGTACTGACGCTATATTTTGACACACATAACATATAAATGCTAGGTTATGACACATGCACAGTATTGACGCTATGCTGTAACATGCAAGCAATATCAACGCTACTATATGACACACAGTACTGACGCTATGTAATGAAAAACATACAGGATCAAAACTACGTTATGACACACACGCAGTACTGACACTATGGAATAAACATTTCAGACTGCCCGACGACTACACTTCCTGTGTGATAAACGCCACGAGGGGCTACTGCGAAGGGACTTCGGCAGACATGCTGCGACAGACATTGAACACCATTTTGTATCCTCTTAAAATAGCAACATGTCAGAATAGACCGTCACCAACAGACAACACTAAAAACGCAGTTCAAGCTAGAGAAGTCGATGCTCAAGCTATTATAGAGCCTGCATTCAGTTTGAAAATCGCAGAGGCTCCATCGACAGGAGCATCAGATAAAGAGCGACCCAGCATATTGACAACATTAACAGATGCAGCAACCACGACATTACCATCACTAGAAATACCAACAGTTGTAGTGGATGGTTCAGTAACACCAACATCACCACAAGAGTTCTCCATAGATGCGAAGACAACTGCAGTCTCTCGAGAATTCTCCATTGCAACAGTTGATGCCACAGACAGGGCAACATCGTCACGAGAATTCTCAACAGCCTCAACAGGTATTTCAGCATCTAGATCTGTTGATACTGTCTCACCCGCACCCATAGAAGTTACAACAATTGAGGCATCGCCTAGGGAATTTTCTACAGCTTTTCTGCAAGTTACGGCAGTGCAAACACTGCAAGGGTCTCAGGGAGAACTGTCAACAGAAGCAACTCTAGAAGCAACACCTTCGGGACTGTCTTCAGAAAATTTGAGGACTGAATTACCGCGTACTAACACTTTCCAGAAGGTTTCTGAAAATGTTTCAACATCACAGTTACAAACATCTACTGTGCAAACATTAGTAGAGTATCCACAGCCAACCGCTGTGGGGTTTGCTTCGTCAAGCCTTGCCACTCAAGATGGTACAGTTTCTGTCATTGTTCCACAAGCCACTAGCTCTTTAGATATATTCACAACAGCTGTGTCAGACAACAGAGCACTCAAATTATCAACGAAGTCCTTCTCAACTAGTGTTCTCGACATAACCATCCCAGAGATATCAGAACAATTTTCAACGGTTGCACTAAATATCGAAACATCCCAAGTAACAACAGGGAACATTCCAGCACAAACTGCAGATGTAACTGTAACAGAAACACCAGTTAGCCGATTCGCAACATTTGCCTCAGATATCAGGGTACCCGGAGATTCATCGCGAGAGTTTGTACCTGAAAGTACAGCTGTAGCTGAAGCATCAGTATTTTCAGAACAATTTTCCACTGCTGCTCTTGCCATTTCAACATCCAAAGTGTTATCCGAGGGTTTTTCATCAAGAATTCCCTCGGAACAATTTTCAAGTTTTGTTCCAGATATAGGTCTGACAGTGATATCTTCTGAGATATTCCCAACGGCCACTTATGATGATAGAACAATAGAAGCACCTGCAACTACAACTCCAGTAAAGTTAACATCTAAGACTGAAATACTAACCATGAGTCTAGCTGGTACAACACCTTATTCTAAAATACCAACAAATCTTGACTTATCAACATCGGCAAGTGAAATAAACACAATTTATAAAGATGGCAAAACAATACCTACAACGGAATTATCAACAATATTTCAAGAAATGTCAACGAACTTACCAATTGAAGTATCACTTATAGCTTCAGAATACATATCATCCGCTCAGGACCTGAAAACAACATTAACTGCTGGTACAACACTTTATCCAAGTTTAGGAAATCACCTAACAACAGTGAGACAAGAAAGTTCTACAGAATATACACCACTGGTTGAAGGAACCTCAATAACAATTGTAAGAGAGGCTTCAATATCACCCTCATCGTTTGAAGCATCTTCAGTAACAACGCAAGAACTTCAAATATCGCCAACATCTGTAGACTATTTACCTACAGCCACAGCGGACATCGCAACGACCCAAACGTCCTCACAAGCGACAACAACCACATCAGCACCACCAACAACAACGTTTGCATCCAAAACTACTTTAGATTTCAAAACCTCACCCCTCAAATGTTATGAATGCCACAGCGGGGCTCCTGGGTCATGGCAGAACGTCAACTGTCCGCCGGACGGACGCATCAAGAAATGGGCAGTGACGACAAAACTTTGTCATGGGCCTTGTGTCTCCATGGTTAGCCGGTACCCAGCGGGAGGTAAGTCAATTTTAATGATTCATTTGTGGATTGTCTCGGCAGAGTTGTCTACCATTTAGTAAACAATTTCCTCATTTTTGTTCCATTGTTTATGAAAAATTGTAATTCTTCTGTTACTTCTGCTCTCTCTCTCTCTCTCTCTCTCTCTCTCTCTCTCTCTCTCTCTCTCTCTCTCTCTCTCTCTCTCTTTCTCTCTCTCTCTCTCTCTCCCCACCCAACTCTTTCATGTTTTTTTTTCAAAGAAATTATAATTCTCCATTAACAGAGAAGTTTTTGAAATATTTAATTTTTGCTTATAGTGATGCAGAAAGTTAAAAAAAATGATGATAATGATAAAATTAATAATAATAATAATAATAATAATAATAATAATAACAATAATAATTTTCCTCAGTTTCGTCATCATCATCGTTATGGGTTACTACCCGTGTGTCATGAAGTTGACCGTTGTTCAAACTTTAAGCCTCATCATCATCATCATCATCATCATCATCATCATCATCATCATCTATAGTTATCATCATTATGTTGAGCAATCATATTCCCCTCGTTTGTTACAGCCCAAGGGGTGGGGGTGGGAGAGAATAGACCCGCTGCCCGTCCCACCCCAAGTAGCATGTTAAAAACGGCTACTAATGAGGGTTTTACCGAAACCGAATGTATGGGACCAAAAAGTGCAGATATCACAGACGCAGAAAGAAAGAAAGAAAGAAAGAAAGAAAGAAAGAAAGAAAGAAAGAAAGAAAGAAAGAAAGAAAGAAAAAAAGAAAGAAAAAAAGAAAGAAAGAAAGAAAGAAAGAAAGAAAGAAAGAAGGAAAGAAAGAAAGAAAGAAAGAAAGAAAGAAAGAAAGAAAGAAAGAAAGAAAGAAAGACAAAAACGAATAGAGAAATGAAAAGAAATAACACAAGACAGAAAAGCAGTAAATAAGGTAGAAAAAAAAAAAAAAGGAAATAAAACAAAGAAAACCCGTAGATAAGGAGGCATGTAAAACAAGAAGGAAAGACAGAAAGGTAGAAAGAAAGAAAGTAGTAAAAAAAAAAAAAAACCAGACAGAAAGCAATACGCTTTAAACTAAAATGAGAAATCCACAAAATCTGATTTTTATCGAAAGAATGAATAAAGTTTAACTCCACCAGGACCGCACGACTAGCGATAAATACCCGGGTGACACAAAGTGCCACCATTCGGATGAAAACCACCCGGGGGCAAGTCCCAGAAACCTCGTTCAAACGTTCAGTTATATTAGGGCCCCTGACAACAGGCGGAGTGGGGCTTTCTTTTTATTTTTTACGTTCTCTTTTACGGCTTCGGGTATCGAGGGAGATATAAGGTCCTGCTTCGTGCTTTTTTGGCTGCTTCGACCACAAACACATCGTGGTGTTGTAGAGTTTCTCTGATGTTATCCTTCCATACGGCTCTTGGTCTACCTCTTGCACTAGGTCTTTTGAATAATGCAAAATTGCGTCCTATATTGGGACGGTTTCTTTATTTATAACTTTCATCTAAATCTTCCACATAAAAGAATATGTAGAGACATGAGAAGAATGACATACTGACAACTATGTAACATTCACTGATATGATGATAATGCTTATGTACATGGTTTCAGTTACCTAAACTATTTTCCCCTCGCACAGATGTATACAGAGCCTGCTCCACGAACTACTACTTCCCTAAACCACCCCCAAGTGAAGGCTGCATCAAAGAAGATCAGGGCGTGTTCTGCTTCTGCTCCACTAACTTCTGCAACACCAGGAACATGACCAAAGAACAGAAAGACTACATCCAGCCACCGAACTTTCAAATTTCAATTTGATACATATCTTACCCGGTGGTAGTTTTTGTTTCTACTTCCTTTTGTTTTCCAGCTATTTATTTTATGAATAAATAATCTTTTTAGGTGAAGGGTGAGTCAACAATTATCCGTAAATAGATATTATCTCATTAAACTGTTAAAAGGAGCAGCCGTGGTGTGTCGGCTAGACGCTCCCCTGCGGATCCAAAAGTCCTGGGTTCAATTCCGAACAGACCCCGACATTTTGTAAAATTGGCCTTGGCTCCCAGGTCGACCCAACCTTAAATGGGTGCTAAGTTAGTCTTGGGAAGTAAAGGCGGCCAGTGTGAGATGCTGACCACATCAGAATATAGAACATAGTTCTGGCAATATATGCCCATTAACCCCGAAGGTGGGGAAAGGGGTCCTTTACTTTAACATTTTTTTTCTTTACAAAGACGTATATATCATTTCAAAATAATCGTCTTAGTTTTGAGTACTAAGTACACACCCTTACCGTTGTTTGCACTGAAATGCAAGTTACAGCAGGCTGGTATAGGCGTTATAGAGGTTGAATGGGGTACTGGGGTTTGCCCTAACGGGCTGCCATCCAGACTGAAATAATTTATGTCTAGGGTGTCCCGTGGGGTTCAGTCTACCCCTCCATTCCGTTTTGTCTTTCAGTCTTCTGGGGTATCAGTGGCGATGTGGTCAAGCCTTTTACCTCGCGCTCTGGAGGTTGTGGGTTCGTTTTACAGACTCGTCGTTCGATTGATGAGAGCAGTTTTTACCGAGATCCCTCGGGATTGTCGCTGGAGTTATGGAGTTCATGCTTCGAGTTACGCTCTCGATGATTGGCTGGTCGTTCTTGAGAGAGAAAGAAAGAGAGAGAGAGAGAGAGAAAGAGAGAAAGAGAGAGACAAATAGTGATGTGACAGATATGGGGTGACATATATATATATATGGTAACACACACACACACACACACAGAGAGAGAGAGAGAAAAAAAAAAAAAAAAGAGAGAGAGAGAGAGAGAGAGAGAGAGAGAGAGAGAGAGAGAGAGAGAGAGAGAGAGAGAGAGAGAGAGAGAGAGAGAGGATTTAGATGAGTCTAACCGAAGGCAAGAAAGTCGATTCCCTGGAATTGTATTTTAACTGCAACTTGTCGATATCCAATGCACCATCTTTAGCCTCTGTCATCCACTTTCGTCTTCGATAGACCACTTAGTTTCCTCAATCCAGTTGTTTCCCATTTCAAAACCTGTGTGCTGATTAATTATCCACTAATAATTTATTGCACTGTTTTATGTACGTAACTATTATTGTTTATGCAATCCTTATGTGACTTTTCTTATGTAATACCGCTGTCTTGGATCAATAAAAAATGCTTTTTTTTTCAATGATTATGGAAACTGATATTCTGTACATCTTTCTTTTTTTTTTCAACTGAGACAAAAACGAGAAGTCTTCAAAATCATATAAATCCTTTCACGATAGACGGAAAAGAATCATGGACATTTAGAAGATTAATGACCCCAAAAAAAAGTTTCGAACGTGGGAGATTCCTTGACAAATAATGAGAATACCCTGTACAAATTACAAAAGCGAGCAGCTCAGATGTGAAAAAAAAAAAAAAAAAAAAAGCTCACAAAGAGAACTGATTGCTCACAGCAGCAGACAACCTATATTCTTTGGTCATGTGAGGGGAAGGAGAATGCTGGAGTGCATCGTGACGGTAGAACTGTTGGAGGGGAGGAGTGGCAGAGGGAGACCTGAGAGAACAAATGCTGCACAGTCTGACATCATGGCATAGAGTATCATCTGTGTCAGAGTTGACTGAAAGTACACACGATAGAAGGGTGTGGATAGACATGACCTGTGGATAGACATGACCTGTGGATAGACATGACCAGTGAAGAGACATGACCTTGGAGAGACATGACCTGTGGATAGACATGACCTGTGGAGAGACATGACCTGTGGATAGTCATGACTTGTGGATAGACACGACCTGTGGAGAGATATGACCTGTGGAGAGACATGACCTGTGGAGAGACATGACCTGTGAAGAGACATGACCTGTGGATAGACATGAACTGTGAAAAGACATGACCTGTCGATAGACATGACCTGTGGATAGACATGACCTGTGCAGAGACATGACCTGTGGAGAGACATGACCTGTGGAGAGACATGACCTGTGGATAGACATGACCTGTGGAGAGCCATGACTTGAAGAGAGATATAACCACCAACGCTACACAGTATGGACTTCAAGAAGCTGTCACCTTTCAGCACGCCAGCGCTATTAACAATCCAAAAACATGGAGACACCGGTCACAACTCCCTAGAGAGTGCTGCAACCTATGTCACAGGCATTTTCTTTCTTGGAATAAAAAGGTAAATGCGAAAAAATCACAGAAAGCAAACAGAGTGGAACACACTCGTAACCTTCAAGATAGTCGGCCCAACAAACTTGTATATGAAAAGTGACCTACTCTATTTGGGGAGATCAACGTGAACCTACCCATATATAAAATTTTCCCTTTAAACTGGACACTTTTTAAACCATCTAGGACGTTTTTCAAATCAAACTGGACAATTTTCAAACCATCTAGGACGTTTTTCAAGTCAAACGACGGTTTTCAAACCACTCAGGGCATTTTTTAAATCAAACCGAACATTTTTCAAACCGAACTGAACAAAATTAGAGAACAATCTTTTAATGCCTAAAGTCGAGGATATGCTAGAACTTTCGAGATGTTCTGGGGCACACATTGCGTAATTTTTTCTGAAATGTTCTTTTGCGAGATATATATATATATGAAAACGCTTTTATCCGTTTATTCAACAGTCCTGTAAACTTAACGAAGCAACCAAATAATGAACAGCGAACCGCACAACGACGTGTCTCTGAGGTAACGCGGTGCAAGCGAACTTCCTTAGCGCTTAAAAAGGTTCTTGTGTTGGTGGATCGAAAAACTACTCACGAGGCAGCTCAAGTCGTTGGTATCAACGAGAGCACAGCAATAAACATCCTTAGTCCCTACAAACGAGAAGGTGCCATTTCCCAGCGAAACTGCGATGATAACAATAAAGAGAAGCTGCCACCCAATGCCCTGCAGCGAATTGAAGACATCGTTGAACCACATCCAGATAATACTTTCGTTCAAATACAGCAGCAGATGCAGGAGAACGGGACTTATCTACAAATTTCAATAGCCTCAAAAAGCTTAAGATCACCCTTAAGAAGTGTCATTGTGAACTTGACCGCGTCAACAGCACTCCGACTATCTTAAGCCTGCAAACGTATGCTCTTGATGTCCGCACATGCTCCACAAGACAAGGAGAAGTGAATCTTCATGGTACTTCGGACTATGTACTTAATCCGTTCCAGATCCTTGGATGATTATGCTGCTGCTGCTGATGATGATAATGATGACAATGATAATGATGAAAATGATTATTATTAACCCCACCAGAACATCACGCCGAGCGATAAACACACGGTGACACAAAGTGTCACCATTCAGATAAGAATCATTTAGGGACAGGTCCCAGAAACCCCGTTTAACCTATAGGTTGGGTTATTTAGGGCGCCCGGCAATAGCTAGGGTGGAGATTTGAAACAACAACAAATTGCATACGGCATTAGGACGCACAAGGCGTAATAACAAAACCTTGGACGTTTACCAAACAGACGTACACAAACGACTTTTCCGATAGGAAAAAATGGAGAATTATTCCTATTGTTACTGGTATATTCTACATTGTTAGAGCAATTAGATGAAATAAACTGAAAAATTGCTGCGTCCGTGGCGTAGGAGTTGCGAGCCCGACTCGTAATTCCAACGTTCCGTGATCGAAACCCACTGCTGGCTGCGTGGATGTTATCATGGTATTGGGCGTAGCACAACCTGCGATCCAACAGGATGTATCCGTTTAATTGCTGAATCCCCCATTCGTGCCTCGGCAAAGGCTGTCAAGAATCTTCTCACGCTGTCTTCTTCTGTCTCTTCCCACTCATCAGTGGTCACAATATGTGATCAGTTCATCGTCTAACACAGTATTTCACAACCTTTTGGGCAACCTTTTGGGTGCTATGTCCAACCCTTTAGCTTTTCTCAAATTCCTATGCCTGCTGTGTAGCTTAAACTCTGGACTAGTCCATTTTCTAATTTGTCCCTAAACAATCAAATTACCCCTCCCCCTTTCCCTTAACCAAGCGTGGGCTCCATGTTGGAAAACACTGGTCTAACAGAACAACGATCTGAACTGCAATCGATATTTTGTGTTAAATTTTACATACACAAGAATATTCACCGACGAGCTGAGAATAAACAAGGTGTCGCTGATATCTCCACAGAGCCGGAACAGGTTGCGGTAGTGTCCCAGGTTCGAGAACTCCGGCAATGAAAGGTTGACACTGTAAATTAATACCAAAGGGAGGTTGGCAATGACAAACGCCGTTGCTACAACAATGACAGCCTGAGTTACTCTGATCTCCTTATTGTCAGTTCTGTCCTTTTGTTTCCGGTGGCCATCTTTGTTTTGAAACATATTTGCTGATCGCCGAAACGTTATTATCTTCTTTAGGTATGCACACATGACAACTAAACATATAAGGATAACTGCCTGTGATATCATTGGCAGAATAGTTTTACTTATTGTGGTGTAAACATTCGTCATTGCTATTACAGAAGGCGTGAATATAAATTGAACTCTCGTTTTATTAACCAAAGGAAAGTAGATAACTTTAAATTCACCGCTAAATCTTGCTATTAACGGTAGATAGTAGACTGAAGTTGCTATGTAAATGCAAGCAATGATATAAATGGAGCGGGAACGGGTGAAAATTATTTTAAAAATGAAGGGCACAGCCACGCAGCAAGTTTTTTGGACTGAGATATAAATAGTCACAAAAACGGAAATATCCAAAAACATCAAAGAACAGTACATAACAACCAATCCGACGTAAGTTAAATTCACGTAAGTTTTGAGTCCAAAATATTTTTCTGCCATTTCAAGAAGTATGGAGATGAGGAATATGAAGAGGTAATGAAAATCTGCAACAGCCAGGCTGAAGAAGGCAACCATGATACCGTCTGCAAGTCCAAGTTTTAGAAATACCATGATGTTCAACAAGTTCGTTATGGCGCCAAAAACTCGAAGCACTACCTGTAGACCCGACCTTAAAAAGACACTGGAGACGATGTACGAAGTCTCATCACTAATTAGTACACTGTCGTGTGATGAATATAAATTCCGTGAAGAATTCATTGTTTTAGTGTTCGGTTTGTTTTACTGTATATGTGCTGATCACTATCTCACCAGAGATGCGGAGGTGGACTTCTGTTCTTCTGTAGTGAGACGCCTTTGTTAGACATAACCATGGCCGACTGTATTTATAGGCCAACTAGGTCAAAGGAAATTCCCGTCGTGTGCAAGTCGAGAGGCTTATCTTTGTTCACAATTTTTATCGAGGAGATGTATACATAAATAAAAATACAGTTTAAATAATTTGCAAGACCTTTTATGAATCGGAATGATCATTTCGAAGATAATTAAGTGTAGATCTTCTAGCGCAGGAGTCGGACGTAACAGTGTGGAATCTCTGTCAAGCCTTTAACCTTCACGTTTCTCTGTTGCTTAGTATTTTCGTTACCATTTTTTCCCCTTTTTCATTGTCCCGTTTCTTACTCCCCGTAGCTCAGCCAGAGTTAGTAGACCGTTAGGCAGTCTATCTTGTGTGATGCCCGGCTCGCTAGCTCAGTTGGTTAAACCTGACTTAGCGGCCACCGGGTAACGAGCTCCTTGTTGTCTGGGTTCACGCCTGGTGGTAGGCAGGAAGGCGAATTTCTCTCAGAATTACGGTGTCTATCATGGAATCAAAATTACGTGAATTATGTATTAACGCTGATCGTTAAGATATGGGTACATTTGGGTTAAGGTAACTAATGTTTTGTTTGATATGTCTTGTTTAAAACGCACATTTGGAAACACCGCCGATGGAAGGTTGAGGGCTAGATTAAAACACCAAAACGACTTTCAAAAAATTTCCTGTGATGTGAAGAAATGTGCATTTAAAAAAGACGTTGCTTTCAGTCGCTGGTGTAGCTCTTTGCGTCTAGTGTGCTCATTGACTGTTTCGATCTCTGTGATTGTGTGATCCTTGTCGCGTCGTGTTGTAGAAAGCTGCACTTTTTGTCTTCGCGCTAAATGTCGCGATGGTTGTGTAGTGTTTGTCTTGTAACGTGTTGATACTGTCGTTTCAGACACGCTAACTGACCTGCCTCATATACTGCCACCCGCTGTTCTACAGTTGTACCCTGTCCCTACCAGACCCATATCACATGACAACAATATTTTTAAGGAGATAATTTATATAACCTAACTATTCTTAGTGGAAGTTATAACAATTCAATTCAGTTAGATGTAGGACACATTGTACGTTAAAATAGTGCTAATGGTTGTTAGTTTTTTTTTTTTCAAGAAGTGTGTTATTCAGTGTATTTAACCGATTTGACGGAGATTTCAATGGTAATTGGCAAATTTAATCAGTGTAGAAGTAATAAATATCTAATTATTAAAGGAAGCGATCATCTGTTTAAAAATAACACAGAGTAAATTTACAAAAAATCAAAATAAACGAATGTTGTTATCTTAGTGGATTTTTTGGGTGGACACATAACTAGATAATTACTAAACACACTTTTACAGTTCCTTGTTTGATTGCCGATCATTTATTTTAACAAATGCTAAAGTGGTTTAAGAATAATTGCTTATTTGTCTCGGGAAATTTCCATGGTGGGAAGTTTGATTTTTAATAATATTCAGGGGAAATTTGTTTGTTTTGTAATTAGCAGTCTAGAAAATAGTCTCACCGGCAAAGTGAGAATGTTCGGTGACGTTTTAATAAACCAAAGAAATAATTCACGTTATAAAACTTAGCACTAACATTATCTGATTTGCGCGCGAATCCCTCATCCGTTTCTTCTGTAATCAGTTTTATACGTTCAGTAGTCTAGGCAGAGACTGAATGTTTTCAAATGTCTTATCATCAGAAGGTCGTCTTGTTTAATTAACACTTTCTCGAAGTGCGCATGCGCTCGTGTGGGCGACTAAAGAAATTGTGTAGCTGCAGGCAATGGTTAGTTTTAAATGTGTTTCCGGCTATGTAGTGGCGAGACGCTGGCCTACCGGCCTTTGGTTTTTCTTCTTCTTTGCGTTCTGTTTTGTATGCTCAGGTCAGACCCTCGGGTGGGCTGCCTATGTGAAATTGCTTGTCAATTGCAGATCCCTTGTGATTTAACCCATATCGAGTCAGATTTAAACAAAATCAAACGCAGAAATTAACACTGAAGATCACCCGGCACGTCCCAGAAACAAAACCCCATTCAACAGTTAGGTAGGGCTCCTGACTTCAGCCATGTTGGGGCTTTCAAATATCGAAAATTTCGTCCCACATTTGGGATCCTACTACATTCTACCCACCATTTTCGTGAAAATGATTCTTAAAAAATGTCACTCAAAAACTGAGTACTGTCACCTTCATTCCCCCCCCCCCCCCCACCCCCCACAATGCCTTTTTATGCCTGGCTTCCTTTATTGTTCATAACAGCGCAACCGGACAAGCTTGCTGTTTACAGCATCAAACAGTAAAGGCGACAACCAATAAGTCATTTGAAACATTGTATTTGGAAAATGTATTTGTCTGTGTGCCCAGTCGGTTCCGGTAAAGGTCGACTAGTCTTCCTGATGAAGTTTGTTTTGTTTTGCGTTTGAGAGAACTGTTAGCTTGGCTCCACAATGACTATAGAGCGGCCATATTTTGGAGGCCAAGCATAATAGAAACCGTTCGTTTTTTTTTAAATTTCTAGTGATTATTTCTGTTTGCAGAAAAAAAAAAAAAAAGATTTAGGAGAATATTCCACTTGGCTGAGGGGAGATAACTAACGAACTCTCAGACACTAAATGCTTTTGAGACGCAACTGTTCTGTATCCTAGCTTAGAGTAGAGATGTCCGCAAGCCTGGTCTACCTCTCGAACACTGTTGAACCCGACCATAAACCGCCAACGGTTCATTGTCTGTGTCGAGTTATGCCTTAGCACACTATAAGAACTATTGACTTTTGGACTGTCTATTGGAGCCTTTGTGATATTCGTAATGTACTCTACGAGGTCATTATCAAATGGAAGATCAATAAACTTGTAAATGTCTCGGGTGTAGGTAAGAGGGTCCGTGGCCCCATGTTCGTACCGGATGCCCTTGACTTGGCCAGGGTAGAGATGGTAGAGTCTCTCAGCATCCTGAAGATCGAGCTGCAGGTTAGTGCAGTGTTGCTGAGAGATATTGAAGACCTGGGTGTTCCAGTTGAAATTTCGAAACACGCGGGCTTGAGAGAACAGTGTTGCTCGAGGGTCTCTATAAAGAGAAAATTGAAATTAGTCATCCAGTGCGCTTTCATAAACGAAAACCTTATATAACGCCGCGTCTAATAAACCCTTATGTGGCTTTATATATTCCTAATTTGAAATGTTATAAAGGGTCTCTTTTTGTGCTTGAACGCAGAACATTGTAATGTTGCGCCAGCGCTCTCTAGCCACAACTATATCGCAGCATCAGTATATAATGTTAGTTAGTTACTTACTTACTTAGTTAGTAGACAGATCATCTCCATTGTAAATCAAATAATTCAGTCCAAAATGCTCGGATTCCCTCCTTTGTAAATCCCGCAGCGTCTAGCCGCTGACAACATCATTTATGTTTTGGTTTCTCATTCTTCTTTAGTTTCCTGCATTGTGCCCTTGTCTGGCCACACCCCTTTTACGTTACTGTTCATGTAGTCTGGTGATCAGGGCTGCCAATATGATTTTTAAAAACCCAGCTAAGCTGAATAAAAACCCAAGCAATATATATATATATATATATATATATATATATATATATATATATATATATATATATATATATATATATATATATATATATATATATATAAGAACAAAACTAAAAAACCCAGATTGTTAAAAAGTACCTATTTTATAGTTACGAAACGAAACATTTACTGACTGTTATATAAGGATATATTTAAAAAAAAAACAGATTCCAAAATTTGAACCCAAGGCGTCAAATAAAAACCCAGATCTGGGGGTAAAAACAAAGCATTGGCAGCCCTGTACTGGTGATGGTTGCAGATTCAGTCAGTTGGTTCTCGCAAACGTTTTATTTCCCACAGCATTTAGTGTATCAGCCTGATCCATGATTCGTCTGCTCTTCACAGTAGACTTACCTGCAAGCCTCTCAGCTTACTCGTTGTCTTTCACAACTGCGTGTCCTGGCAGGCAACTGAAACTGACCTTTGTTAGTCTTGACTGCCTCAGAAACACCAACCTCTCTCTCTTCGTACCCAGCCCATCTCTATTATCCTGAGTATATTCATTGAGTCATTAAAAACTTTACTATATAAGTACTAATTGCAACGTACCTTACTAAATATAACAGCTTAAAATTTGGATTTCTGGCTAGCAGAGCCTCCGCCCACTTGACCTGGAAACGAATGGTTTTAACAAACGTGACCCGCTGTCGTCTGCAAGCGTCTAACAACTGTAGAAAACATGAGACGTGGAAAGCTCCTTTCTTCTGAAAATCGAAAAAATATTCCACATTAGACACTATTTTTCTTATTTGTGTCATTTGTGACGAGTTGGCTTCAATGAAAACCTCAGTAGTGATAGAAATTACAGAAACCCTGCCATTGTCTTGTAACGTGTCAATATTCTAGTTAAAGATGTCACGGCTGTGTAGCACGTGACAACACGTTGCAGACGTCATAATGACAGTTCAAAGATGACCACCCTACTTCTGACATGCACCAAAGAGAAACAGCGTTTTTCTTCTTCTTCTTCTTCTTCTTCTTCTTCTTCTTCTTCTTCTTCTTCTTCTTCTTCTTCTTCTTCTTCTTCTTCTTACTTTTATTCTTCTTTTCTTCCACCTTGCGCCTCAGTGAAGTGTCGGGAGCAGATTTAACATTCGTTGATGAGCTCTGTCAAAGGCACTATTAAGACAGATTTTTTTTCTGTAAGGCTGTTTTTAATGCTATCACTTCATATTTTCCACTAGCTCTATACCTGTTGTAATGGTTTAGTGGGGCTAGCTGTGGCAGACAGCACCAGGACATTCTTGTTAGGGGTCCAGACCACTTCATTTGTTGTTCTTTGATGACCTGTAAGACTGGCTTTATTACTAGCATTCGTCTGATTTCCTGTAAGACTGGCTTTATTCCTAGCATTCGAATGATTTCATCTAAGACTGGCTTTATTCCTAACATTCGAATGATTTCCTGTAAGACTGGCTTTATTCCTAACATTCGAATGATTTCCTGTAAGACTGGCTTTATTCCTAGCATTCGAATGATTTCATCTAAGACTGGCTTTATTCCTAACATTCGAATGATTTCCTGTAAGACTGGCTTTATTCCTAACATTCGAATGATTTCCTGTAAGACTGGCTTTATTCCTAACATTCGAATGATTTCCTGTAAGACTGGCTTTATTCCTAGCATTCGAATGATTTCCTGATTTCGTATTCTGTCTTTCCTTCAAACTCCTCCAGCTCTTCTGAGGCATTTCATTTCTGTTGTTACAATTTTACGTTCATTGAAGGAGGTAAGTGTTTATGTCTGGCACTGATAGCACTGTCAGACTGGCTTTTTTTCCTGATTTCGTATGATTTCCTGATTTCGTATTCTGTCTTTCCCTGAAACTCCTGCAGCTCTTCTGAGGCATTTCATTTATGTTGTTACAATTTTACGTTCATTGGAGGAGGTAAGTGTTTATGTCTGGCACTGATAGCATAGTGTTAGCGTTTTTAACTAATAATAATTATGAATTATTTAATTAAATAAGTCAAGCACATGACTATCTTCATCACCGTGGCCTGTCTAGCACACAGTGCTCGTTCTGTATCTATGTATTCTATTAGGCACTCGATAACTGATGTGTCAATGTCACAACAACCTCATTTTTTTTTTCATTTACTAGTAGCCTTTATAGTCTGTGCCTTGAAGCTTTGCCAAGTAAAACAATATCCGCTACTAATTCAAAAACAAGGATATGTCAGACAAGCCGCTGTTCTACTGCATTTCCTGACTTATCTGAGTATTAATAAATAATGAACACTAATTTACGCGCAAACACTGATAAGAATGCCCTGGTACTATCCGCCACAGCGAGCCACACTAAAACGTTACAACGGGTATAGAGCGAGTGGAAGACCTCGGAAAATATGAAGTTATGGCATTGAGGACAGCTTTATAGAAATGAACATCAGTCTTAATAGTGCTCTTGACAGAGCCCATCAACGAACATTACATCTCCCATGGACACTTCGATGAGGTACAAGGTGGAAGAGAAGAAGAAGAAGAAAAAGAACACTGATAAGTGGACACCCCTGCGATTTAAAACCTCGAACCTAGTCAATGAAAACTCTAAGCGGATTTTGAGAAAACAAATTACAAATTGTGCTGGAAGCAAGGTTCTATAAAGACCTGCTGAGACTGATGAATACTGGTGATACAGCCCTACTTTTACCCGAATACTGAAAGTTCTCTTCACATAAATAAACTATTTATGATTCCAAAGGGCGTTTCAGAATTCGTGTCCTCACAGTTTATCAATATCTCGAAAACTACTGTATCGATCAACACACATTTTTGCGTGTGGCTTTAGATTTGTCATGCCCATATGATTTTACAATTTACAGTTGCACATGTGCTGTTTTTTTTTCTTTCTTTCTAAAACAGAGAATCTCTATGATTTTTATCAAATAATTTGACAACCCCCTGAAAATAGAATATACAATTATTGACACACATGTGGATATTGTTTAGAAATCACTTCACGTGTACATTGATGTATAGTGATGATTTTAATAACCTATCCCCCACACAATTAAAAAATCCACAACTCACGAGAGACTAAAGCTGCAGATGTCCACCCCAGAGTGACACGCATGCATTCTGATATTTAAAAACTTCCCGTTACTCTGTAACACTGTAAGGATGCTGACTGCTTTGAATTAGTGTCTGTTTTCTTCGTATGACAGAACAAAGGCAAAATGAAAACTAGATTTTTTAACATTCCTGTAAGGACGTGTTTATGAGCAGACTGAATGCCAAAATGTCAACAACTTAACACTAAACGCTTTCTCGGTTACAGATATTCTAAGTTAGGAACGACATTTGGAATGGACTATATAACTAGTGAATGCAGAGTCAACCACACAAGCTTGCAATGTTCTTATTGTTGTCAACTTTGAAGATACGGATAGTTACTTTATATGTATTGATAGGCGGACAGAGAGACAGGTAGGTAGGCAGGTGGGTATTTAGGTAGGTCGTTAAGCAGATGAGTAGGTAGGTAGCTAGGCAGATAGGTTCACACCTACATACATACAAGCATATATAGCTGCAAGCATACAACAGGCATAAATACCACAAGCAAACATATACACATAGATGTAAGTAAGTAGATAATTAGGTAGGCGGACAGACAGACGAACAGACAGACGGACGGACAGACAGACGGACGGACGGACAGACGGACGGACGGACAGACAGACGGACAGACAGACAGACAGACAGACAGACAGACAGACAGACAGACAGACAGACAGACAGACAGACAGACAGACAGACAGACAGACAGACAGACAGACAGACAGACAGACAGACAGACAGACAGACAGACAGACAGACAGACAGACAGACAGACAGACAGACAGACAGACAGACAGACAGACAGACAGACAGACAGACAGACAGACAGACAGACAGACAGACAGACAGACAGACAGACAGACAGACAGACAGACAGACAGACAGACAGGTAGGCGAACAGACAGGTAGGCGGACAGACAGGTAGGCGGACAGACAGATAGACAGAAAGATAGACAGGCAGGCAGGCAGGTAGGCGGACAGACAGACGAACAAACTTTTTTTAAAAGGGTTGCGAATTAGGCACACAGACCCGTCCTACATTCTGCCCTTCTGGCCTCACTCCATGCATACATTATTCATTCACACATTGTTTCAGCAGATGATAAGAATAATGATAATAATAATGGACATCATTAACAACATCTTAGTAGCAGTGTGCTGTAAGTATGCCTACATTTCAAAACAGTTGTATTACTAAGTATAATAAATCTTGGTAGAAATTAACAATATGCTTGGGATACCATTATCATCTAAGGGGCCATATAGTCTGTAGTGAGATATTCTTCTTCGTCATCATCACCATTATCTTCTTCTTCTTCTTCTTCTTCTTCTTCTTCTTCTTCTTCTTCTTCTTCTTCTTCTTCTTCTTCTTCTTCTTCTTCTTCTTCTTCTCTTTCTTCTTCTTCTTCTATTTCTTCTCCTCCTCCTCCTTCTCCTCCTCCTTCTTCTTCTGCTCTTTCACCATTTACCCCAGCGAGGTGTTGGGTGGAGTTGGAAGGATCGTTTGTGCGCTTTTCCCAATGCATTGTACAAGTTGATGTTCATTTCTGTTAAGTTTCTCCTGGTAATGTCGCTCCATCTCTTGCGTAGTGAGATAAAATTCAAAATAGATAAATAAATTAACTGAGTGACTGGTTTATCCCCCTACAACATTTGAAGAATTACCTATCACGGGCAAACACAAGTGTAAAACACACTCATAAGTCTATTGTAAAAACTGTCTATAGAATCCCTACCAAAGATGCCATACATCTGTAAAAGTTCCTGGTGGTATCGCTGTTACGATACAGGTAGTTGTCAAGCGCAAAACTGTACTCGGTAGGAATGTTGCACTCCATAAAGGCTTTGACTATTGCCATGGAATCGTTCTCTTTCGTGTCTCTAGAAATAATCATAATAGTAATAAAAATATTAATATAGGATGTTCCATAAGTCACTCTAGCGCAGCAGTTCCCAACCTGTGGGTCGAGACCCCTTTGTGGGTCGAACTACTCGTTCACAGGGGCCGCCATACAGAACACATATTTACTGAAGTTATGAAGAAGCTACGAAAAATTTTTTATGGTTGGGGGTTACCACAACATTAGGAACTGTTTTAAAGGGTCGCGGCATTAGAAAGATTGAGAATCCCTGCTCTAGCGTGACTATTTCATGCTGATATTTTCACATTACGTACTACACAATTCTCATGACGCAGTACGCAATTATTTAAACAGTGGGGAAAAAAACTTATAAAACACGCTATCATAATAATAATATAACAAAAACATCTGTTTGGTAGTTTGTGGTTTTACTAGGTAATTTTTTGTTCAGTATTTTGCTCTTTCGAACTGAATTATCAGTTCTCACACCTTTATTGAAATAAACGCAAAGCCGTCTGATGTCATACTGCCTGCAGTCGAATTTAATCATGTATGATGAAATTATAAAACTGCTTTTTAAAACCAGTATGTCTCAACTGCACTAGCCTGCCGATCTGAAGAACACAGGTTCGAATACACATCATGATGGATTTCCTTTTTCTGGTCAATATTGATCTTGGCTTCCCAGGCTGACCGAGCCTAACATAAGTACCAGCTAAAGTTCTGGGAAGCAAAGGTGGCCGACAGGATTTTGTTCACACCACCCACTGATTTCCCCATAAATATATGAGTCTAGCATCATATGCACCACGCTCCCTGTCTGGGTTGCCAGACCCCTGTTGTAAAAAGGGTGAGGGATATGTGGGTGGGATGGGAAGGGGGGCGGGGGGGGCGAAGAGACCCGCTGCTTCCCTAAAAGGCATCACCATCTTCTCCTTCTTAAAGTCCATGCCGTTAATAGTCAAGTCCGTCCACAACCTTCTGTTTGGTATACTCTCAGTCAACTCTGATACAGATGACCCTGCATGCCATGATATCCAGCATCTTTTATCTCGGTCTGCCTCTGCCCCTCTTCCCCTCCAACTTTCCTTTTGTCACGATGTATCCTCATACGGGATATTTATTCGCCGATGTTACCCCTTCAAATCGCACTGATAAAACAACAGATAATTGAATGCTGCTCCTCTTGTGTGCATGTAAAAGGTGGGGCGTCATCTTCAAATTGTCATTATGACGTCACCGTGTTCGTCTTACCGCGATGTCATATGCTTAATACTCTTGGCATCCTTAACACAAATATTGCCAGGTTACAACATAGTAGCATCGTTATTGTAATTTCTATTACACTTTTAAAATTTCAATTTGAACCCCCCCCCCCCCCCCCCCCCCCCGCTCCCAACCCTCGTACTTTCTTTGCGTAGCTTTTTCCTCATTTCACTACTTCGGGTGAAACGAAATTCGACCCTTTAGTAAACATTTTGGTACTGTAATGAAATATGTTTTATTTACTCACCATTTTCTGGTGAAAGAGAATAATCACTCCCGGACTACTATGAGTTCAGAGACATATGTTAATAATAATGCTGCTACTAACACCCTCCCATGCTAGTGACAACCTGGTCTGTGTGTATAAACATCTCCCTAAAGTCCCAGTTTCCTGTGCTCGTTTCGGGCTTTCATCCCCTCAACAGTTGTTATCCTAACATTTTCCGAGTCCCTTAACATTCCTTCTGCCTACGCTTGTGTTGCTGCATCTTATGTTGTTTATTGCTCCTGCTGGAGAGGATAATTGTGTCCTTCTTGCTTACATATGTTGAAGCCCATCATGTCGTCTCTATGAAATGGATCGTGTTGTTGTGTATAGAACTTTTGAAGTTTCAGTGTCTTGGTATCATTAATTATCCTTTACGTTCAGTAGGGTCAATGTCTTCATCATTTAGTGTTATTTTTGGGTGGCAGCCAATTTTATCTGTGGACATTATTTATGTTTTCTTTAAATTCAAGAATATATTTCGATTATAACACATACGCGCGCGCACGCACACACACACACACACGCACAAATGCACACGCATGCACACACTTAAACAAAGGCTATGCCCTTTTACTCCCCGTATCCGCCATCGCCTCTAAAAATATTTTTATGGGGTCTTCGCACACCCCCCCCCCCCCCAGCCCTTTTCCATTGTTCTTTGTGGCGACGCTGTTTAAATCAGCAGCGTGGCCGTTTTCTGTTCTTTTCACAATGACCTCGGCTCCAAGGTCGAGGCAGTCTGCCAGGACAATGAATGAATGAACGAATAAATGAATCATGTGGCTCATGCCCCATTATTTTAAAAGGTCCTTTACTGTTAGTACTTACAGTGAAATACTCTTTTCCAAAACAAACAGAGGCTCAAAGACAAAGAACACGTCCTTATGGCGGTTGATGAGAGCAGACGTGAATGTGGAGCCGCTGCGTCCATATGTAACCAATAGGATTTGTTTCTTAGTTGTTCCCGATTTTGTTCGACCGTAGGAGGTGGTATCTGTAGTCTGGTCAAAGTACTTGACCTTGTGTATTGAACCTGAAAAGGAAAATGGCTCATTGGGTAACCTTTCCATACATATCATTTCTTGAAATTATTCTCTGTGTTAACCATTTCTTTCTAACATTCGTTGTTAATATTCGTCCTTGTTTGTTCCCGTAAGCATCGTCCCCATGAGGGATGCAGTTTTTAGTTATTTTGAAGCCACACCTTGGCTTTTGCCAGTGGGCTCTAAATATAGCCGGGCCTCAAATATGGCCTAACGGCTGAACGCGGTTTCCGGGACCTCTCCACGGGCGATCCTCATCCGCATTGTGGTACTTTGTGTCACCGGGTGTTTATCGCTTGTGGGATGTCCTGGTGGGGTACATATAACCTACCTACCTACCTTTTTCCTATATCTCTTTATTAGTTTGGGGGGAGGGGGTAGCTGTTTGCCTCCTGCACTGAAGGTAGTGGGTTCGAGTTACAGCTGCGACATTGTGCTCACGAGTGCAATTTTTACGTAACAGTAAGATGCTTTCGGTAGACGGCAAGCTTTACTGTGGATAAAGACAGACTCACAAGGGAGAAAACCGGGTACACTGAAATCAATCCTCCCGACTTTAATCCTTTTTTTTTTAGTATGATTACTTTAACGTATAATTTGATTTTGTGTTTCGGATGTCTTTCCTCGTTATCTTGTCAGCTGTAGAGTCATCTCTTTCTCTCTCTCCCCCTCCCCTGCCCCCTTTCTTTTTACCCATCTTTGATTTTTATTTCTGCTCTTCGCTTGTTAGTTTTTAAAATTCTTTAGTTATTAATTCCTTTTCTGATAATTATTTCTGTATATTTCTTTAACTTAACATTCATCTCACAGATACTTAATGAAAATTTTCATTTCATTTTTTTACGGAGCTCTGTCTGTCTGTCTGTCTGTCTGTCTGTCTGTCTGTCTGTCTGTCTGTCTGTCTGTCTGTCTGCCTGCCTGCCTGCCTGCCTGTCTGTCTGTCTGTCTGTCTGTCTGTCTGTCTGTCTGTCTGTCTGTCTGTCTGTCTGTCTGTCTGTCTGTCTGTCTGTCTGTCTGTCTGTCTGTCTGTCTGTCTGTCTGTCTGTCTGTCTGTCTGTCTGTCTGTCTGTCTGTCTGTCTGTCTCTGCTTTTTATCTCATTCTTGCCCTCTCCATTCTTTTAAACCCCCCCCCCCCCCCTTTTACACCTTCAGTGATTGATGTGGCTCTATCGACGTCTCTACTGCTCACAACTGGAAGTGTGAGGCCCCGATACCAGAAGACGTAATCAATCACCTACCTGTCAGACGTTCTGGGCACCCCTCTCAAATATATGTAGAGTAAGACACTGAACAGATGCTAGACCGTATGGTCTCAATCTCAGACCCAGGGAAAGGAAACGACTCACAGATTAAAACATCAAAGGTCGTAATCGGTTTGGTTGTACACTTATGATTAGTTTTAGGTTTTCCAGTTTTCTTTCTTTCGTTTTTCTTCCTTCTGTGCTTAGGTCAGACGGTCGGTAGGTTTGCTGGTCTTTCTTTCTTTCTTTCTTTCTTTCTTTCTTTCTTTCTTTCTTTCTTTCTTTCTTTCTTTCTTTCTTTCTTTCTTTCTTTCTTTCTTTCTTTCTTTCTTTCTTTCTTTCTTTCTTTCTTTCTTTCTTTCTTTCTTTCTTTCTTTCTTTCTTTCTTTCTTTCTTTCTTTCTTTCTTTCTTTCTTTCTTTCTTTCTTTCTTTCTTTCTTTCTTTCTTTCTTTCTTTCTTTTCTTTCTTTTCTTTCTTTCTTTCTTTCTTTCTTTCTTTCTTTCTTTTCTTTCTTTCTTTCTTTCTTTCTTTCTTTCTTTCTTTCTTTCTTTCTTTTCTTTCTTTCTTTCTTTCTTTCTTTCTTTCTTTTCTTTCTTTCTTTCTTTCTTTCTTTCTTTCATTCATTCCTTCCTTCCTTCTTTATTTATTTATTTATTTATTTATTTATTTATTTATTTATTTATTTATTTATTTATTTATTTATTTATTTATTTATTTATTTATTTATCTGTTGTATCCGTTCTTATGTCTTTTTTAATTTCTATATATCTGCTTTTCTCTTATACTTAGTCTGACAAGTACTTGTTCTGTGATGTTGTGAACTTTATATCAGCCGACTTTACTTCCCAGGACATCACCTGTTATCCTTTTTTAGGCTGGATTAACCCGGAGGCCAAAGTCAGTTAAAAAAAAAATCATTATTGATGTTGATTTGAGCCCTAGGCTTTAGGGCCGACAGGCCAGCGTCAAGCCCAGTGGTCTCGGATAAGGGCGCACCCCTCCCCCACCTCCCAGGAAGGAAAGGTGACGTGAAGAAGTTCCTGGGGGATGGGGGGGGGGGGGGAGTAGGGACATTTTGATAATCAGTCCATTTGTACTTTTCCGTTAAGTTAAGAGTCTTTTCAGTTTAATCATAAATAAAATATTTTTGAAAATTTGAAAACAGAAAGTCAATTATGTTTTTAGATTTTAAGAGCAGTGTGTACATCCGCTCTTAGAAATCTAATTATTATGACAATATCAGCATTTAATTCTTGATTAAGAACATGTTCCTCTTCTTGCTGACCTCATTTTATCATTTTGAAAAGAAGGGAGGGGAGGGGGCATGTGATGTTGGTAATTCTTTGTAAGTGGATGATGATGATGATGTATCACAGTGAAAAAGCAATAAAAATATGTTTGTGTGGGTGTGTGATGAATGGTTGATTAAAGTGATTTGCTTTATGATTGTCTTTTTGTCAAAGAAATGGCACAGTTTTTCTTCAGTAATCAACCTTTACTTTCGTCTATTCCAATATAGGAATAGATGAAATGGAATAGATGACAATATAGGAAAAGAGTAGTCTAACGGCGCTGCTCGGGCAAATTTTGGAGTAAAAAATCTACCCAAAATATTTCAGAATTCTCGCTGGTGCTTGAGAGTTCGTGCACTGTGCTGAGAATATTCATACGAAGGCTTGAGTTATAAGTAGAACGGAGCACCCGTGTGCCAAGATGTTGATCCATTGAACAAACAAACAAACAAGGGAGGAACGGGGTGACCTGGCGGTCTAGGGATGTATACTCAAGGGAGGCACCTGGAAAAGTTGGGGACCACTGGTCTCGTCATCAGTTCTCATTATGCCTAGTGGCACATGGGGCTTCAGAGAGGACTTTCCATGCTTTCCTATCCTGCGCAATCTTCAGTGCAGTTTTCCATGTCAAAGATGCCGCACGCAGGTCACTTTCCATCGTTCGTCTCCATGTTGTTTTTGGTGTGATTTTCAAGTGATTGGTTACTTATGGTCACTGGTTGTTGGTTTGGACTGTTTGTCATGATCTTAGTTTTCTTTGTATTTATTCTCACTCCCACCATTTCTGATGTGCAGTGTAGTCGGTTACTTTTCTCTTGTATATGTTCATGTTTATGTGATAGGAGTGCTATATCATCTGCAAAATCAAGGTCCTCAAGCATGGTGAATGGAGTCCATCGTATGCCTCTTAATGTCCTGTCTACTGTGTTCTTTAGTATCCAATCAATCACAAGGTTGAAGAGGAGAGATGACATAACACATCCCTGACTTACCTGTCTTTACTGGGAAAGATGTATTGTATTTTTTTATACTGCAGGAAAAGTCTTTATAGAAGAGAGAAATTATGTTGACTATTTTTTCTGGAATTCCATAATGTCGTAAAATTTTCCACAGACCGTCTCTATGGACGCTGTCAAAAGCTTTCTCAAAGTCCACAAAATTAATATATATATACTTCTCTGCCATTCATTGCATTTTTCTAAAATGTTTCGTATGGTGAAGATGTGCTCAGTTGTTCCTCTGCCCTTTCTGAATCCTGCTTGTTCCACTCGTAGGCATTTATCTACTCCTTTTTCAAACCGCCTTATGATGATTTTACAAAATATTTTACTTGGTACTGAGAGTAGAGTAATTCCCCTCCAATTATTGCAGTCTGTTAAGTCTCCCTTTTTGGGGATTTGGACTATTGTTCCTTCAGTCCAGTCATCAGGCAACACTTCTGTTTCCCAAATATCCTTGAACTGGTCTAGCCGCTACTTTACCCCGGCTCACATACACATTAGCGACGATTGAATAAAAGCTTTTAAAAATGCAGTGAACTTACCGCTTATATTGTACACGAATGTGACTAGGATCAAACACGAGACTACCACGGAAACAACCAGAAACAAACACTTGGCCGGTCGGAGAATACTGAGCACAGTTCCTGTCGAGACAGTGGCCATTTAGGAAGCTGGTCTGCATTCAGTGCGAGGAGTTCATTCAAGACATGAGCATCCTTGAAGATGTTCCCAAAGACTGTAGTCATAATCTTCACTTCGAAACTTAATCCTCAGAAGCTAGGTTTATTTTCATATAGCCACTGGATTATCCTGAAACATCAGAGAAAACAGATCAATTAAGCGACCATTATTATTATTAATTTGTGCTTTATAAATATCCTACCCCAAAGAGGGGAAATCCACAGGTCACGGGACAATCTACTATTTCAGGGGGTGGTAGATAGGCTGCATGCAGTCGTGAGACCTAGGCTGCACTCTCTCGTGTGACGTAGGTGGTTTGAGGTTAGGACCAGTTCTAGCTGTTTTAGGACCGTTAAAAGCATCATAAAGCCTGGAAACCCAGTCTTACCACCCTCTAAAATGTTGGACTGTCCAGTGACGTCATCTAGGGTAGGATATTGATATAGCATCTATTATTTTTCTGCAACACAGACGAGCTTACACGCATAGAACATAAAAAGGGGTGAAGCCAGACAAGAGCGCTATACAGGGGCAAAAAAGAATAGTAAACAAACACAGAACTGGTGTCATAAGCCACTACACGCTGAGGGAGATACTGAAGAGGGGATCTTAGCACTTATGGACTGAATGGTTTGATGTTCGATGATGATAATCTGTCCACTAACTGACTAACTAACTATTATTATTGCACAATTAAACAAGGCTTAAGTTTTATGAGACCCCCCATAATTTTTAGGTGCGGGGTGGTGTAGTCGTTTAAAGGGCTTAAGCCC